CCAAAAAATTGATGCTTTTGAACTGTGGTGTTGGAGAAGACTCTTGAGAGTCCCTCGGACTGCAAGGAGATCCAACCAGTCCATCCTAAAGGAGATCAGTCCTGAGTGTTCATTGGAGGGACTGATGCTGAAACTGAAACTCCAGTACTTTGGCCACCTCATGTGAAGAGCTGACTCATTGGAAAAGACCCTGATGCTGGGAGGGATTGGGGGCAGGAGGAGAAGGGGACGATGGAGGATGAGATGGCTGGATGTCATCACCAACTCGATGGACATGAGTTTGAGTAGACTCTGGTAGTTTGTGATGGACAGGGAGACCTGGCGTGCTGCAATTTATGGGGTCGCAAAGAGTCGGACATGACTGAGCAACTGAACTGGTGAGATATCCAAGTATAAATATCAAGAAGGCAGTTAAATACACACAGACCGAGCACACAGAGATGAGGACTTAAAAGGAATTTCCTGCTCTTGATTGTACTTTTTTAAAGTTTTAAAAACTACCTTCCTTTGACATCTGATCTTACTAAATCTTCTTTCACAATCAGTGGTGTGGATTAAAGGGCCACAGTAACAGAGTTCCTAACTTTCGTTCACAGCCAGAAACAGTTCAAGATGCTCTAGGAACCTAATTGCCTTTGGTGATTCTGATTTCTCCCATTCACATAGGAAGTCAGGGCAACTGGTCCTGGGCTGTCTCCTCCTTCCCTTTTCGGGACATCATGGAATGTCAAATCCATCATCAAGAGGTAACAGGCCTTCTTCCAAAGGCTCTGAGCAATGAAGTGAACCAGCATTGATGACAGCTAGTTACTGCTGGTAAATAATTTTAAAAAAAAAATGTTGATTCAATTTTTTAATGTAGCAGAACTTTTCTACTTAGGCCCACCTGAAAATGTGCTGCCTATCACTAAAACTGCAACTCTGTGCAAAAAGAGAAAATTTGGCCAATTTTCCAGCCATTTTTTTTTAAGTCGTTGACCCCCATCCTGAGTTGAGAGCAAATACTTTGGGGATTTAGTAGAAACCAGAGCACTTCTTCCTGAACCTGGCCTCACAAAGAACCTCCATGAAGAAGGTAAGGAAGTGTCTGTGCTTTCTCCTTCCTCCTGAAAGTAACTTGCAGGCCCACCAGGCTAATAAGACACCGAGAGGGAATTTTAACTTGCTCCAACAGGCCAGCCTTTAAACTCAAATTAACTCCTGGCTGAGCCACAGCAAAGGGAGGACAGACAACTATTGGCAAGAAGTGCAGAAGAAGGGACAGACTTGAATTGATCTAGAGGACGCTTAACTGTTATTGTGACAACATCCCTGCGGCTGCAACTCACGGAACTCAGGTTTGTTTCTCCAACTGCTATAGGCCAGGTGCCCTCTTTGGCCAAACCCCAACCTCTCTCCCCCACCATCCACCCACCACCTCACTTGGCCCTCCTCTGGAGCCCAGCGGGCGAGGCTGGCAGGAACCCAGCCTCAAGGAGAAGCGCAGAGGACGGCTCCCGCCTGCCTGCCGGGAAGTGGCGGGGCTTAGGGGAGCTCTGCACCCCTGGCCAGCTCCCAACGCAGAAAGAGAGGCAAGGACACTGTTGAGCCTGCGCCAACCCCTCTCAAATTAACTCCTGGCTGAGCCACAGCGAAGGGAGGACAGACAACTATTGGCAAGAAGTGCAGAAGAAGGGACAGACTTGAATTGATCTAGAGGACGCTTAACTGTTATTGTGACAACATCCCTGCGCCTGCAACTCAAACAAACTCAGGTTTGTTTCTCCAACTGCTATAGGCCAGGTGCCTTCTTTGGCCAAACCCCAATCTCTCTCCCCCACCATCCACCCACCACCTCACTTGGCCCTCCTCTGGAGCCCAGCCTCAAGGAGAAGCGCAGAGGACGGCTCCCGCCTGCCTGCCGGGAAGTGGCGGGGCTTAGGGGAGCTCTGCGCCCCTGGCCAGCTCCCGACGCAGAAAGAGAGGCAAGGACACTGTTGAGCCTGCGCCAACCCCACCACCCTCCCCGCGGACACGATCCCCAGCTTCGCGACTCCCCCTGGCTCCAGGACCCCACTTCACCGCCTCCCGCTGATTGCCTTCCTCCCCGGTCCCTGGACCGCCACACCTCTCGGCACAGAAAGGATGCCCTGGCCTCGCTCATCCCCCAAACACCCAGCCTCCCCCCCAGCGGGGCGTACTGGGGACTGTCTCACTCAGTACCTGGGACTCTGGGACCACACCGCTGTCGCCTGCCTAGGCCGCCGCGGGACCGGGACCAAAAGTGAAAGCGAAAGTGAAGCCGGAGCGGCAAGCACAGGCGCGGGGTGCTGGGCCGAGCCCTGCAGGCGCAGGGGAGCCCCCGCCGAGGGGGTGGAGGGCTGGGGCCGGGGAAACCCGGCAGGACGAGCAGACCCCATGTTCCCAGGACAGTTCAGTTGCTCAGTCATGTCAGACTCTGTGCGACCCCAGGGACCGCAGCACGCCAGGCCTCCCTGTCCATCACCAACTCCCGAAGTTTACCCAATCTCAGGTCCATCGAGTTGGTGATGCCACCCCAAGACAGGGACTCACAAAACAATAAGGTGTACGGTGCAGGGGGAACCAGCAGGGAGAAGCACTCCTTTAGGGATGCAAATTCTTTTCCCTGCACTTCTCTGGAGATTGGGGGGGGGGGGTCCCCACAGATTAGCCTTTGGGGCTGCGGGGGTTTGGGGGCAAAAAGAGAGGGCTGGCACTCTTTGAGGGCACCTGGGTGGAGCCGAGCTCCCCTCTATCCCCGGCCTGAACCAGCTCAAAGCCCCGTTGGACTCAAGGCATGTCCATCATCTCACCTCCACAAATGCGCTGAGAGCTCTGGGCCCGCCTCAGAACGAGGCAGGAACCCAGAACTGCTCTGCAAAATGCTGGCTTGCCCGGGGTTTCCGTTGTAGAGAGGTTGAGCTGGAGACGCGGAAGAGGAAGAAGGGGGAAACAGAGGCGCAAAACTGCCCACCGATACCACGGGACCCTTGGGCCCCGCGGAGATGCTCCTCCCACATTACAACTTTCTCCCTGGGCTTCCACGTGGCTCCGTGGTGAAGCATCTGCCTGCCGATGCAGGAGACACGTGTGCAAGCCTTTATCTCGAAAGATCCCACACGCCTCAAAGCAGCTGAGACTGTGGGCCCCAGCTACTGGGCCTGCGCTCTAGAGCCCAGGTGCAACGCCCAGGCCCAGGCACCAGGGCTGCTGAAGCCATTGCGCCCTAGAGCCCCGGCCTTGCTCTGAAGTCAAGGAAGTCTGTGCATTGCAACTAGAGTAGCTCCCACTTGCTGCAACTGGAGGAAAGCTCATGCAGGAACGAAGAGTCAACCCAGCCAGTAAAATAAATCTTAATAAAGAACTTATTACGGTTCTTTAAAAATAAAGAACTTAATAAAAGTTCTCCCTACTTTTTCAAATTGAATGACCATTTCTGTGCTCCCCTTGGAACCTTAAGACTGGATGAAATGTCCCAAGAAGCCCACCTTTAAACAGTTGAGGGTAAATGGGGTAAGAAGCCAGGAAGACACAAATGTTCCTACTCACTGAATGCTGCCCTGGCCTCTCTCAGATCTTTTTCTCAGTACACACAGGCTTTCTCCTCTCACGTCCTTCTCTGCTGCCTCGCCTTTGAGATCCTGGGATTCCAAGTTATTCGAAGAGTATTTCTCAACTTCTTTTCCCCTCAATCTTATGCCTCCTTTTAAAAAATACAATTTTTTTCTTCTGCATAGTCTCTCCAATCAAGGTTATTTTGTAATGTAAAATTAACACCCTGTCCCTGAGCCCAGCCAGAGTGGGACCAAGGGAAGTATTTTCAATAAATTCAACAGTAAAACCAACTCTGGGATCAGGTAATTTCTGCCTGTTTGCCAGGATGTCAGTGTACAGCTAAAGGTCCCAGGCCTCCGAGTGTCAGGGAGTGATCCTAGTTTGCTCAGATGAGAGCTACTGGTCCAGTAAACTCTTGCATTTCTTTGTTTTCATATTTGTATTTTGGGATTTGCTGTTTCCCTTCAGTTTCTAATAAGCTTAGTTTCTTTGAAAAGATTTCTTGATGGTCAGGATGGAAGGAAGTAAAGGCACCAAACAGGCTGGAAAGAAAGTGAAAGTCACTCAGTCATGTCCGATTCTTTGCAACCCCATGGAACATGGAATTCTCCAGGCCAGAATACTGGAGTGGGGAGCCTTTCCCTTCTCCAGGGGATCTTCCCAGCCCAGGGATCTAACCCAGGTCTCCCGCATAGCAGGCGAATTCTTTACCAGCTAAGCCACCGGGGAAGCCCAGAGGCTACTATAAATGACCAGTTAAGACAGGGAGAGGGGAATAAGTTTACCCATACTGGGCAGAAGGGAGCTGAAAGCTGGCCACCAGACTTCTTTCTCACAGCCCCTCCCTCACCCAGACTTTAGACTCAGTTCAGTGCTAAGATTCCCTCTTCAGAATCCAAGGACACTACAAATAAAGCAATTAAGACAAGGATTTGGCAGCATTCCCTTTCCATTTCAAAGCTCCAGCAGGAATCTGTGGGATGCAGACCTTGGAGTGAGGACTTTAAACTTGAAGGAGTCCCACTTGTAGAGTCCGTGAGATCAAATGTTAACAGCTGCCAAGCTCAGAAATGGTCTTAGAGGGAAGTGGGCAGAAAGAAGGGGCATCTAGGTTTATTGATTACTTACCAACTGTTAGATATTGTGCTAAATGGATTTGTGTGTATGTATGTATAATTTAATCTTTTTCAGCAATCGTGTAGGTATTATGCTTTATAAATTTAGAAAAGTAAGAGCGACTGGCAACTTGCTCAAAAAGAAAATAAAAAGTAAAACCTAAATTTGAACCCTAGGTGGGTCAATTTGAGTCCAGAGTACATGCTTTTTCCAGTGACTCACACCACTTCCTCAGCTAGCTGTTATTTACTCCCCACCTGCTTCACCTTGCCACCGCTTCACTTGGCACTTCTAGCTTTGCTCTCTTTCAGGCAGCCCCTGGGAATTCCCACGTTGAAAAACCTTCCTAGAGCCTCCCCATTTCCTCCTGGTGGATATTCAGTTAGGCTGCTCCAACTACTACATCGGCAGCTAAAGAACCCAAGGCTTTATTCCTCACTCATGGTGCACTGTCCGTGGGCAGGGTCCTCTGCCCAGCATAGCCACCTGTGCTCAGCATGCTGGAGGACCGTCGTCTTGTTGGTACTTGCATCTGAAGTTTTTGGCCTTCTTGATCACTGCGGCAAGGAAGAGTAAGTCCAAAGAATTAGGCATCAGCTTTTTCCCACCTCAATGCTGAATAATACATATCCCTTCCACTCACACGTCATTGACCAGAACTAGCTACATGGTCTTCGGCAAATACAGGGAGAGGTTGACAAAACACTAATATTGTCCTCTGCACAGTGTAGCAGGGTCAGCTGAGTCTTACCTTTCAAAAGTTCCGTGTCCTCAGTCTCAGGCGGGACCTGGGAGGAAGAGGAAGTCCATCTCAGGCTTTAGCCATTGCAATACATGCAACCGTGGCTTCAGTTCAGTTCAGCCGCTCAGTCGTGTCCGACTCTTTGTGACCCCATGGACTGCAGCATGCCAGGCCTCCCTGTCCATCACCAACTCCTGGAGTTTTCTCAAATTCATGTCCATCGAGTCGGTGATGCCATCCAACTGTTTCATCCTCTGCCGTCCCCTTCTCCTCCCACCTTCAATCTTTCCCAGCATCAGGGTCTTTTGCAATGAGTCAGTTCTTTCCATCAGGTGGCCAAAGTATTGGGGTTTCAGCTTCAGCATGAGTCCTTCCAATGAACATTCAGGACTGATTTCCTTTAGGATGGACTGGTTGGATCTCCTTGCAGTGGCTTATTATTGATCAATTCTCTTTTGCCAGCTTGGATTTCAGATGTTGATCAAGTAGTGTTTAGTTTTGCTCTGATTAATTGCATCAGTTCTGTCTTCACTCAGTTCAGTTCAGTTCAGTCACTGAGTCGTGTCCAACTCTTTGCGACCCCATGGACGGCAGCATGCCAGGCCTCTCTGTCTTCATTAGCTTTTGTCAATTAATGTCAGCATTGGGTTCATTTCTCTTTTGCTGCCAAAGTTGCTACTATTTGAACCTGTCACCACCTTCTTTTTGGATGTAAAGTCTTACCCAGAATCACAATGTAGAAAGCAGACAAAACAGAGCTGTAATGAAGAGGAATAAACCCACCCATTCAGTCCTTGCCAGCTGGCTCTCAACTCCACTCCGACACCTGCCCCTCACACACACTGCGAGTCCTTAGGTACCTCCATAGGCGCCTATGACCCCAGAACTTAAGTTTTTAAACACCGCCTCAAAAAAGAATAAAACAAAACAGCAATGTCCCTCATTCTTGATATTCCTGATATCTTGATATTAACAAAGAGAATGATAGTTTTTCTCCCTGACAGGCCAAATCACAAGCCAGGCCTACTCAACAAAATCTATACCATTTTATTGAAAATTTAAAAAAAAAAAAGAGGAAGAA